CACCTGCCGCCGTCGCAAAGTCCGTTGCGACAAGCAGATGCCCTGCTCCAATTGCCGTCGAGCCCAGATCCCATGCGTCTTCCCCGCCCCCGGTCGGGCACCGCGGCAGCCGCGCCCAAGAGACCCCAATGCGCCCCCGAAGAACTCGAGCCAGCGCGAGATTGAGCTGATGAAGCGCCTGAGGAAGCTCGAGGGAATCGTCGAGGAGCTGAGCGGCCAGATCGAGGTCGAGTCCGGGGGCAAGGGGCCCTCGTCGGCCAATTCGCCTGAAGCTGCGCATACAGCGCAGGCCTCAAACGTTGACCGATCAGCAACCTTTCCCCAGAGGCATTCATCCAGCGCATCTTCTCACCCTGGTGTTCTGGGTCAGTCTAGTGGGAGCCCGAGAGGTAGTGATGCTGCGAGCGATCAGAGCGAGGCGACCCGAAAGCAACTACACCAGAAGTTTGGGCGGTTGGTGTTGAATGACCAAAGTGGGAGCCGAAGATATGTCAGCAACGGTTTCTGGGCAAAGCTCAACGATGAGGTTAGATTTTCATATTCTAATACGGGCTAAAGATTGCTAACTGTTCCTAGCTCGACTCTATTCGAGAAGAGACGCAAAAACTTACCGACGAAGACTTCGACGACTCAGATTATGAGGAAACTCCGGATAGTTCTCCCTCATTGGTGGTCCCGGCAGATCACCACTCCTTCATCTTTGGATACCGCTCAGCAGATGTCAACCTCGAGAAATGTCGACCTCTACCCTCCCATATTCCGTTCTTGTGGTCTGTCTACCAGGAGAACGTAGAGCCACTCATCAAGGTGTTACATATTCCGTCAATGGAACCAATATTCCGTGACGCGAGGAAGAACCATGAGCAGCTCTCTCCTGGAAACGAAGCTCTGGTGTGGGCGATCTATTACGCTGCTATCACTTCACTAGAACCCGAGGAGGCAAGTTCAGAGAGATGAGAAATATGGAAACTAAACTAACCAGACAATGCAGGTTCGAGCTAATCTTGGCGTCAACAAAGAAGACGTCCTTACGCAATATCGTTTTGCTATCGAACAATCCCTCGCAAAGGCAAACTTCCTCAACTCATCCGACACTTCGATAATCCAAGCCTTTGTCATATTCCTCGTCGTGGTCAGGCGTCAAGATGAAAGCCGCTTTTGTTGGTCCCTGACGGGGTTGGTGGTTCACCTCGCCCAGGGCATGGGTCTTCATCGAGACGGATCACACTTTGGGCTGAGCCCCTTTGAGACGGAAATGCGGAGACGTCTCTGGTGGGCATTGCTCGTACTAGATCTACGGTCCGCAGATGAACTCGGCACTGACCTCATCATTGGGGATCTATTCTACGACACTCAGATGCCCAGTAACATCAACGACGCTGATATCGGCCCGGAGACTACAGAATTCCCCGAGCCGAGGGAGGGCCGCTCTGACTGTGCGGTGGCTCTGGTTCGCTATGAAATCTGCAGTCTCTCAAGACGCCTTCTCCGAGCTGCATCAGCATCAGCTTCGTTTTGCCCCAAGGGAGCACCACTCGCTGATCTCGGGCTCGCAGAACGAGAGCAGCTGCTCATCGAGGTATATCAAAGAGTCGAGAGCAGGTTCTTTAAGCATGTGATGGATGATGCGGACCCCTTGTACTGGATGGCAGGCATGATTGCCCGCATCATCATGGCCAAGATGTGTCTCGTTATTTATCAGCCCATGCTATTCCCCGGTTCAGACGGTGAGCTTTCGGCCGAAGCCAGACAGCGCGTCTACGTGGCAGCGATCGAGATTATCGAGTACAACCACATTCTCAACACGGATGGGAGATGCAAGCAGTACAGGTGGCTGTTCAAGACATACACAAACTGGCACGCCATGGCATATTTCCTCATCGAGAGCTGTCGCCGTCCGTGGACTCCTCTCGTGGAGCGTGGGTGGCAGGCGCTCAACGGCTATGAGGGACACCCAGCCGAGTATGTCCGCTCCGCCGATTATACGTCTGTTATCCTGCCCATACGGAAACTTTACTTTAGGGCTGGCAAGCACCGAGCCACAGAGATTGCCCGTCTCCGCGGCAACCCCGAAGAGGCTCGTCGTGTGGAGTTTGAAGAGCGGATGAACCCAGCTCAAACGTCATTTGTATTGATACCGGCCGGCGAGAACAAGATGGAGGAGATGAGAGAGAGGTGGAGGTCTCTGGTGCGATCAGACGGAAGCAACGTGCCCATATCTACACCGGCTGAGCTGAGTCCTACGGCACCTCCAGCGATGCTTCAGCCAGGACCACCAACATCACAATCACGACCTCGAACGCCCGCAGCGAACGAGGTTCCATCAAATATCAACCTCTCGGAGGCCGCTGTGGGACTCATGAACGAACTCATGTCACAAACAGCGAATTTCCCCATGACCACATTCTATCCATTGAACGAGATTGGATCGGCTGAGATGAGAGCCGCCGCATCAACAGGTTCAATGAGTACACCAGGCATGACGGCTGCTCAACTACCCCAGCAGCAACAGACGCAGCTTGGGGGACTGGGTCAACCATTTTCCCAGCAGCCACTACAGCTGCCCAAGGATGACAACCCACCCCCATACCTCTGGCCTGATCCATATCCAACCATTGAGGAGAACTTTGACAACACAGGAGGCGATGATGTCGACATGCTAGGCGACGACTTTAACTGGCAGGATTGGAGTCAAAGTATTCGTGGCTTGGAGATGGAGAGCACACAGGGGCAGAAAGGATGGTGATGCAAAATAGCATTGTAAACATTGGATGGCAAAAATGGTTATGTTGGATTTGACTGCGCCTGTATGATACCCGGTGGAGTTTAGATGGTGCGATCTACATGGATTTAGACAAACTTCCACTCTGCATACAGCCAAATTGGTTGTTCGAATAAGGAGCATGTATAGCTTCTAAAATCTATAGCTTCTCGCTACTCGCTTGGCTCTTCTTCTCCTCTTCCAAGACGTCCTCTCTTCTCCGGACTTCAACATTGGTCGGTCCGCCTTTGCCAAAGTTGACGAGAACCACGCGTTCCCAATCTCCTCCCCTCTCAGACCCCTTAAGCTCTGGCCCAGGCTTGTCCAGTCCCAAAACGACTCTCTTGTCCTCTTTTCTGATAAAGAGGTTATGAGGACTCATGACCTTGTCGCCCCATGGGATTGTTGCCGTCTTATGCTCCTTGCCCTTTTCTGTCTCCGCAGTTGGTGTCCTCTTGAGAAAGGAGAGCAGCTTCTTTCGCTGGGCAGCAAGTTGCAGGGGTCCTTCTCCCAGAGATCCAGACCGGCTGGTGAATATGTCTGAAACAAGGGTGAGGAGATAGGCCTGTGGGGGAAACAGGATGATAGAGTTGTCGGCGGCTCGTGAGAGGAAGGTCTTGGCTGGAGCAAAGGACGCAGCTGTATGCTCGACACCGTTGTCAGGAGTTGGGATGAGCATCTCAGACGGCATGTCGCTGCGTGTTAGAGGAAGCATGTAAAGATACATCTGTGTTGTGAAGCGCTTTGCGTTTATGGTGGGAGTGATCCATCGTGTAAAGGGTATAAGGCCATCTATCACAAACCATCAGCTCTCTCTCTCTCTTTTCAGTTCAATGCAACCCCAAACACGAACCCAGGTCTGGCTCGGCGCCTACAGATTTCAACCACTCGAGAAACTTGACCTGGTTGCCGTGGATCTGCTTCCTCGCTGCGTCCCGCTCCTCGATGCTCAGGTTTATCAACGCGCCGTCCTTCTTGGCTAGCAAGATGCCCGTCTCCTCAAACGTCTCTCTGATAGCGCCGATCCTATACGCCAGTCCATCTTGATGCCTCTCTGGAGAGTCCACGGAGGGAATCACACCGTCGTGGTAAGGGTCCAGGTTTCCGCCGGGAAAGACATGCGCCGAGGCAAAGGATGTTGAAGTGTGGACGCGGTGTAGGAGCAACACGTCGTTGACGGGTGAGACGAGGAGGACTGAAGAGCTAGGTCGCGGCTCAGACAGCGGACGCTTGCCCGCGGAAGAAGAAGACGGTCGTTTCTGAGTCTTTGAAGCCATGATGAATATCGAAGGAGCAACACGCTGCGCAGTCCGGGGAACAACAAAGCTACATCTAGAACCGCCGCGGAGGAGCAACTGTGAGAGCGGTCGCCCAATGGAATTAAGCGAGGGAGGCATGGATTATTGGGCAGCGGCTGTTCGGTTGTGAAGGGGGTTCGAGGGGGGAGGTGAGCATGTGAGGTCTTGAAGCGCGGGCTGGGCGGGGGAAGTGACGTCGTGCCGAGGTCCGCTCCTGAAATGGTGTTGTCGGCTCCGAAAGATCGGCGGAGGCGGGGGTTGCGGCCGAGAATAAGCGGCGGAGACGGGGCCGGTTCGGCCGGTGGTGAGGGAGCTGTGGTTTTATGAAAGGTGTGCTTACAAGAGAATTGAGTATCCTGTTGATCGATGGATGGGCTTTTATTGTTTAGAGCAATGGTACTTTTATCAAAACTTAGATCGAGAATTGGAGACAGGATATCATCTTCAAGTGGTTTTTCCTCTACAACGGCGTTAATCGGCGGCTATCAATAACCGCTATCCGAGCCTTCTCTCAAGTTTACAGCACACAGTATTCACTAAGATGTTGTTCAAGATAAAGCGGCAAAACGTCTTATTAATGTAGAAGACGAGTGAGGAATAGAAACAAGCGCCCGTCTCTCATATGAGCCGGAAATTCTAGCACAGTGTAGTGTTTTAGGGTAGGGTGTTGGCTAACACTCAAGTTCTGACGGGGCTCTTTCTTGACGGTTATTTAACATCAGAGTATTAAGAAGATCCTGTTGCTCGTATTGATTTCTAGACTTATAGGTATTTGTCAAATTTGCAATGGTATGTCTATCTCTAATAAAAAAGTTGTCGCTCCGTCGGTCACACACAAATATCTAAGTATCACTACCGAAAAACTGGCAAAAACGGCAAAAAAAAAAAAAAAAAAAAAAAAAGAAAGCACTTCTCAATCATGATTATAGTGTTATAGGAACAGCCCGATGCGGGGGTCGAACCCGCAACCTTGAGATGGTGAACTCGTAAGAGTCTCACGCTCTACCGATTGAGCTAACCGGGCGTGCTTCGCCCGGGCATCTGGCCCGTTTGACGTTGAGGTCGGCGTCCGAGAAATCGATTTATGAGCCGGGAGGAATGTGCGGCGGGAATCAGGGCTTGGGAGGAATGGGTTCTGGTTGGTTGTGTGATGGATTGGTGGTGCGATGGGGGCTGCGGTTTGGGTGGAGTCGAGTTGTGAGTAGCGCTGTGTTGATGTGCTTGAGTGTTTGGCTGTGGTATAAGGTAGTGGAAAAGAGCTTGATGAAAAATCATGAATAAGAGAGAAAGACATGTGAGATAGGATAGACAATTCAAATTAATCAATCCCCTCTTCAACAACCAAATTCGTCATCGTCATGGCTGACAGTCTTGAGCAACTCTCTTCACCCAGGGAGATACCGTGGTTCTTCAAGGTAGACCCTGATTGGCCACCCGGAGCCATCTCTCAAGACCACCTCCCAAATCACGTGCACAAGACCCATTCGCTTCCCATAGGGTTTCTCACCCCACACATCTATCTCATATTGTTTGGGAAAATTTCGCCTGAAAAAGCTCTTGTTCACGACGGCATCTCGAGACCCGGCACGACTCTTTACGAAGTAACGCCACACTAACCCCCCCCTTCAGACACAATGGCCAAGATCTCGTAAGTTGCTCTTCTTGATGGGTTCCGTTCTCGACAAATTTCTCTGCCAAATTTTCTGCCACCGGACTTGAAGCGCGCGCAAGAGGGAGTTGGATATATTTCATGGCGGGGTGGGAGGGAAATCGACGGTGCGCCCGCGCACACGAAAACGACGAAATATTCGAGCTCAGCATGGCTTCGTCGACTCGACCTTCTGATGGCGACGGCACTGTTCACGGGCACACCTGCGGTCTGAAAAATTACAGCTCGACTATTCGACGACAATGACAATCTCCAAACTCGAGGGCGTCCGTGGCAGAAATTTGGCAGAGAAAATCGAAACGAGACACAACAATGATATCCAAGACACCAGACTGACGATACTCTCTACAGGCGTGGTGCCCCTGGTGGCAAGCTCAAGATGACCCTGGGTCTCCCTGTGTACGTCCACCTCCGAAGCAACTTCTCTCTCTCGACGACCGAAGCACTAACAAAGGTCCAAACAGCGGTGCCGTCATGAACTGCGCCGACAACTCCGGTGCCCGAAACCTCTACATCATCTCCGTCAAGGGTATCGGAGCTCGCCTGAACCGATTGCCCGCCGGTGGTGTCGGTGACATGGTCATGGCCACCGTCAAGAAGGGAAAGCCCGAGCTCCGAAAGAAGGTCCACCCCGCCGTCATCGTCCGACAGTCCAAGCCCTGGAAGCGATTCGACGGTGTTTTCCTGTACTTTGAGGACAACGCTGGTGTGGTACGTTTTGGTTGATTCACTACAAAACATTGGGAATGTGGTTGGTTAACAATGACTTGCAGATCGTCAACCCCAAGGGTGAGATGAAGGGCTCTGCCATCACCGGCCCTGTCGGTAAGGAGGCTGCTGAGCTGTGGCCCGTAAGTTACATCCTCACTCTGTCCACAGTTTCAATGCTAACTCCCATCTCAGCGTATTGCCAGCAACTCTGGTGTTGTCATGTAAAGTGCTTGCTTGGGGGTCAAGGAAAGACAAAAGGGGCGTGTGGTTCTGTCCTGAAATGCGATCAAGCTAGAGCGCGAATTTAGAAAAGTTCGCCCCTCCCCCTTCTTCTTTCATCTCCCTGTGAATAATACATCACCGGAGAAAAGGGGCTGGGGGGAGAGAGACACAACGGGGAAGAAAGAGGTCCAAAGGTCGCTGGATTTGGCAGGCTCTTGCATTTCGGTTGCGGCGTGTAAGGAATGATTCACATTACCAGGCATCACATCAGGGACAAAACAAAAAGTCACTTCAAAAACTGGTTTTCCTGGCGGGATGTTTTTTTCGCTCTTGGGTTTTGCATTTCTTTTGAACGAGACCCAATGCTGTGATTGTGTTCTCGTGAAAATGTTTGCTCGCTACAGCCATGGAGACGAAGAATCAGACGTCATGACAGTTGATTGTATTCCTCGCAAGGTATGGCATTGCGTATGAGCTTATTGGATGATCCTGCATGTTCTATTGTAGGGTGGGTGACCTCAAGAGAAATCCCGTCGTAAGCCACTTACAGGGAGTGAAAAGTTGGCATACAGCGAACTGCGCATCCTACCGGGGCCACCATCGTAAATCCTCACCAATGGCTCTTTATTCATCCATTATTTCTAGAAGGATTTGATGAGGACCTTGTTTATTTAGTCAGTTCTTACGATGAGATATGAGGATGAATGGGCACCCAGGTTGTCAAGTCAGCGTGTCAAGCATTTTCTTAACCAATGTCCACACTACCCTATGGCATCGCAGTAAAATCAAGGGCGCCATCTCTGTCATCCATAGCGAGAAAAATACGTGGAACTGATTACTATCTACATCATCTACTGGCTCGCTCATTGTTCTCATTGTCTGGTGTAACACTATCACTAGGTCCTACAGAGGTATCAATTTTGTTCAGGCTGTTTGGTCTCATTCACGCAATAAATGGTCCATGCATCGCAAAGACCCTACCTCAGGTAATTTTTTCACACATCACAATAGAAGGAGGGAGGAAATAATATTCCTCTGGAGCTTTACTCAGACTTATCCTCCTCTAATATTGCTATTATGGAAACATGCGAAGAGACATTTACGAGAATCACCAAAGATTATGATGCCTATCAGTTGGTGGACGAGATCACTCACTCACTTCCTTGGCTTCACATCACGGACTACTAACGTCAAAGTTCGATCAAAGGCACTCATTTCACAAAGCAAAAAACACTAAAATTTGTCGAACAATCGACATTGAAGATTTTTCGTATCGCGCTTGCTATCACATTTATAACATCCACCCTCCATTTCTCATGTTCGGCCCTCCCCTCTCTCCCCCCTTCGCGTGTTGTTGCCGAATCATTATGCAAAGCCCAATACCATGCAGCTGAGAGAACAGATAGACTAGAAAAAAGAAAGTAGAAAAAGAGCAAAGGAAAACGCGGGGAAAAAAAGAGACAACTATGAGTCTAGTGTACAGAGACTAGAAGTGATGAGGAAAAATGCGAAACGAGAGCATCCAAAACAGAAAAACCCCTCCCTCCGAGAGTCCTTTCATAGTATACAGAGTGATTGGCTGTATGTACCTTGGGAAAGGGACCTTGATGCAAAGTCCCGGTGATGCTTTGTGAACATGTTACATCGAGCGATTGGATGAATGATCCTCGGGTGCTCGAGGGATGAATTTTTTTTGTGGCTTTTTGGTTTTTGTTTTGTTTGCTTTTGATGCATGATGCTTGCGTCTGAGGTTTCATGTCGAGCATGTCCAGAGACTCGGGTGCGTCATGAACTTGTGCCTCCTCACATCTGCTGGTAAGGGTATCCCATGCCAGGCATGCTGTGGCCATGACTGTGACTGTGACTGTGACTGTGACTGTGGCTGTGGCTGTGGCTGTGGGCGTGACCATGCATGAAGGGCGGGTTGCCAGGCTGATGGGGAGGAGGGGGAGGAGGAGGAGGAGCATGCTGAGGGTGCGGCTGGTGAAGTTGAGGCTGCTGCTGGAGATGAAGTGGGTGCTGGGGATGTCCATGCGGCGGATGCTGGTGTTGATGAGGGTGCATCTGTGGCTGCTGCTGCTGCTGCTGCATCATCTGCTGCTGTGCCTGTTGCTGCTGCTGCTCTTGCATCTGCTGCTGCTGCTGCATCTGCAACTTGATGGCAGCCTCCCGCTTGGCTGCGGCCTTGCCCTTGGGCTTGGGGGCCACGACTCCTAGTCTCTGCTCGGCGGCGGCTTGAGCGGCCTTCTTGGCGGCAAGAGTAGCCTTGCGCTTCTCGACGGCACCGGCCATGTTGCCATTTGCCCAACGGTCTGTGACGTGTTAGTTTGTGGTGAGCATACATAATCCACCTAAGCAACTCACTCTTCATAGAGGCTGACATCTTCTCCGACTTGGTCATGGACTTGTAATCCTTCGGAGCTTCCTCACCCTCCTCGACAGGGGCAGGAGTAGGGGCAGCGGGTGCTCCATTCTTGGTGTCTAGGCCAGACCGAACAACCTTGATCTTCTGAACCTTGCGGCTGCTGGGGGTCTGCGCCGACTCGACTGGGGGCAGAGGCGTAGGGGCGGAAGAAGGAACTTCGCTGCCGACTGCGGCGGCACTGGCTCGCTTGCCTCGCTTCTTGGGGGGTGCCTGTGAAGACTCTTCAGCCTCATCGGGGTCGTCGCGGAAACGCTTCTGTCGCTTAGGCCGGAACGAGTAGGACGATTCGGCAGTGTGCGAGGACTCCTCTGATGAGGCTGTGGTCGGACGGGACTCGCCATTGTCGGTGATGGCTGAAGCGGGCTCGCTGAAGTGCTTGCTGCCTCCCTTGGGGATCTTGAGGGTGAGGAGGTGTCGGCGGACGGGTGGCTTCTCCTCCTGGGGCTCCTCATCAACAAACTCGTTGGGGTCTGCTTCCTCATACTTGACAGCAGGCTTGCCGCGACCACGACGAGTAGGCTTGGCAGGCGATTGCTGCGGTGTGGTATCCTCTGCGTCAGGCGTAGGCGCAAGGTCTTCGACAATGTTTGGCACGGCACCCTTGCCACGAGGGCCACGCTTGCGTCTCATCTTGGGAGCGGTCTCAGAGTCCGAGGGCACTTCGTTGGTGAAGCTGACAGAGAGGTTGGTCTGCGTCTCCTCATCACCATTGGCGCCTTTGCGACGGCGACCACCGCGGGTCGGCACAGGCGTGGAGCTTCGGCTGATATCCTGTGTGGCGGGGTCAAAGAGTTGGACCGGCTTGCGCTGTCGCTTACCAGTGACTTCTTCAGTCTCTGTGGCCTTGGCAGTTTGTCGAGGTTGGTTTCGAAGAGATCGACCGCGGGTCATTATCCCGACTTGCTGAGTCTCGGGGTTCTGCTTGCCAATCTTGGAAGGATGAGGGTCGTACTCGAAGCCGTAGGAAGCAGCCATAATGCGATCCTGGCCTTGGAGA